CATACATACATACATACATACATACATACATACATACATATTGGTTTCCCTGAAAATAAGGGTCTTATTTTATATTTTATTTTACACACACACACACACACACACACACACACACACACAGAGTGAGAGAGAGAGAGACATCCTTGCTTTCCCAGCTGTGTGTTTTCTATCTGCGTGTTAGTTCTGTGCACCTACTTCTTAATCTGCGAGGCTTTTCCTTGGAATAGTCTGTTGCGTAGGTGGACTCGAAATAGTGAGTGTACTGCAAGGCAAAAGGCGGGGTCAGTTGTGCACGCTTCATCCCAAAGCCCCTCTCCTTCACTCAAGCAAGCCCAGCCTTCGAGCAGAGGGGGCTTTCTCCCCAAAGCAAACCGTGATTTACAGAACAACAGTGGGAAACGAGGAGCGTGATGTGATCCCCTCCCAATTCCTAAACTCAGAGGTCAGTCTTGCGAGGCTCAATTAGTTTGCAGCCCAAAAAAAATATACACTGTTTACCCAAAAATAAGACCTCCCCGGATAGTAAGCCCAATCGTGGCTTTTGAGGGCATGCGCTAAAATAAGACCTCCCCTGAAAATATTGCAACATAGCAGCAGCCATGAGGTGACCACACTCACCGCCTCCTGTACCTCAAAAATAATAAGACCTCCCTAGAAATAAGGCCAAGCACTTATTTCAGGGGTCAAAAGAAAACAAGACCCTGTCTTATTTTTGGGGAAACACGTAAGCATCCAGCGTGGCAGACAAGCAAAATAACCCAGGAACTGAAGAGAGAAAGTAAGAGAAAACAATAGCATATTAGAATAGAATTGCCGGTAAGTGTTTCTTTCCCCGGTGAGACCAGGCTATCAGAGCAACCTGGACGGCCCAATGATGGGATGGAGCACCCTGCTTCTGCTTTCGCCTGTTGGCCATAATCCAGGAGCCTCCCCAGGCAGCCGCTGGTCGCGACAAACTATTTTTTTTGTGTTGAATTTATGTGTACTGAACAAAGAAATAAAGGGGGAAATAGATCTAGAAATAAATCTGTACTAGTCTGCCTTGGTTTCTTTGTCAGTAAACATAAATTCAATATTAGAATAGAATAGAATAGAATTAGAATTAGAATAGAAATAAGAATAAGAATAAGAAAGAATAAGAATAAGAATAAGAATAAGAATAAGAATAAGAATAAGAATAAGAATAAG